TAGATTTTAAATTTCTGGTTTTTAAATTAATGTAAAATGTTTTTAATTAATATTTATGTTTTTATTTTTGTTTAATATTATTTTTTTAATTATTCTAATGTAAAAAAAAAATTAAAAGAAAAAATGATGTGGAGTATTGACTATTTCTAAGAGTCAGTGTGTTGTAGTACGTTGGTAGCGAGCGATGAGGTGGCATCAGGTTGGGTGTGAGTGTGTGACCATACCCTTAGCCTTAGCGTCTTCACCACCACCATCAGCCTACCATGTCTCTTCCGTTACTCACCGTCACACGCCCACCACCATAAGCCAGGTGACCCCTCAATCGTGTCCGGTTGATACGTTTTATATTTTAGGGCTTTTCAAGAGGAACCCGGGTAAGCGAATCCTCCCCCGCTCTCCGCCGTATGCCGTCGAGTCCCGTGTGAAGCCTTCAACCGGTTACCTTCGCACCCTACAATTACAGGTTCGTTTTCTTCAACTTTTTTCTGTTTTCGTTTGCCGATGTCGATTTGGGGTCGCCGCCCCCTTCTTCCAATCTTCTTTACGCACGAAGCTGCAATCCACCAGCTGCTTTGGTTTTTTTCCTCCACTTCTTTTGTTTCCTGACGGTGTTTTCTTCAACTGGAGAAGAGGAACGAACTAAGCAGCTTCAGCAATGGTGACCAACACGTCTCACCATCACCTCCTGTCACCTGATCACTACCGGCCTTGGCCACCCCCCGTTAACACCACCGCACCACTAAAGAAAACATACCATTGACCATCATCTTCTTCGGTTCTTTGTTCCCTTTGAAAACTACGGTTTTAAATCGCGTCATAGAAGGTAAGTTCTATGGTTTGGCCACACCTCACTCCGTTTTTAAGCATCTACATCGGCATATCATACAATCTATTTTGTTTTTGTTTCCATGAATTGATACCTTGCTTATGTTCGACAATTAGGGATCAAAGGCGTCTGAAAAAATATATCTCAAAGAGATGAACGTCTTCCTAGCACAAGGCAGAGTAATACCAAACGAAGAATAAAAAGGTTTGTGTTTTTTCTGGGTTTAATTTTTTCTAAATTAAAACTTAAATTACCATCTTTTGTTGTTTAATTTCCCGAAGCTCTGTTTCGTTTGTTCAACACTTTGGGAACTAGAAGAGAGACGGTTGTCGTTTTTAAGGAATCAATTGTCTACGGTTTTACTTTTCCTTTGAAGATTAAGGGGCGTTTGGCTTAGCTTTTCACAGCCCAAAAGTCCTTTTTGGAAAAGTTACAAAAAGTCAGGTTTTCCTAACTTTTCCAAAAAGTTCATTTTCCTTGTATCAAAACTCCAAAAGTAGTTTTTAAAACTAGTTTTGCCAAACATCTTTTGCTTTTTTTATTTTTCAAAAAGGACTTTTGGCTGTGAAAAGCTAAGCCAAACACCCTCTAATTTTTCTTGGCCATATCCCCTTCCAATACGATTGGAAAGAAATAATCTATTTATAGTAAAATGGTTCCATGTACAGGTAGGTACTTGCTGATATGGTTCTTTTTGCTCAACCTCCAAATCTGGTCTCATGTAAGAAGTAGGAAAAAATCCAAAGCAAAATCTTTTGCAAAGAAAGTAAGTTCCAGATGCATGTGTGGTTCGTTGTTTCTTTGCTACTCACATGTTAGACACCTTAGTCTTTAAGGGCATTTGAGTCTTTTCTTAAATTTTGTCATAATTTTTTTTTTTTGCTGGAAAACCATATATTGAATCCCTGTAGTATTGAAATCCATTTTTAGTTTATCAGTATAACAGTTATTTTCTCAATACCTTTATATTTTACATGCATAATAACCATTTGATGAAATGCCCCAATGAAATTCTGTTTTGTTATATGCATTTTTTATTTTTAGGAACATTCAAAAATAGGTTGTCTGTTAAGAATAGTCTTCTTTATAAATTAAAGATGATGCAATTTTTATAGATTTCAGGAAGGTGGACCTCACAATTAATGCAGTTGAATGTGTGATTAGACGCATCTCAGCTGGTGGTGGAATTTCAAGTGAGTATGTTAATTTTTTAATAAAAGAGGATTCCAATGTTTATTTGTTCATTTATTGTAGTTTTACTTACCAACTCTTCCATTTGTATGACCATAAAGGGGACAACCTGACTCGATCTTTAGAATCAACTACATGGATTCTTAGATTGGAGAAGATTAGAATGTACATCAAGAACAATAATGGTTCAGGTACCCGTCAAATTCAAATTTAATTTTTTTTATGTTTTTTACATATTAGGCTAATTCCCTTATTTCTAAGCAAGAGGTTTTATTAAGTTTTGGCTCATTAACTGCTACTTAAGTTGTACCGGCACTTGCAGGGATGCGAAGGTAAATCCATTGATCTAAGTTGTGATTTGGATTCTGTTAGGAGGGTGGTTGTTTCAGATTCCCTATTTGGCAATCAAGATGTATTTTTTATTTGAAAAGTAAGCATTGTTTATAGTAAAATTTTACTTTTTGTTTATTGATTGAATGGAATTACAACTTTTTCCATAAAGAATTTAGTTGGAAATGTGGAAACGTAGCCATAACAGATTGTAACAGACCAGTGATTGCTTTGGTTGTTGTTCCAATTCACCACCAATTACTGCTGTTGACGTGCCATCAAAGGGCATTTTGGTCGGTCCTAGAAAATAATAGGTATTTGAAACCCATTTATAATTTTTCTATTTGGAAATTTTTACAAAATCAGCACTTAAGGGATCTCAAAGCTGCAAGAGCTTATCAAGATATAGATAAAACTGCCAAGTAATTTGCAGTCCTCACACTCCTGGGCAATGAACAATTAGGCTTCTGGCTCTCGACTGTTGCAGTCAGTTTAGTCATCATAGCATGTCTAGCAATCAACCGGTCTGCCCGACTGCATGGAAGGTAATAACAAAGAATGAGGTCCACGAAATGCATTTTTATGCAGTCCAACTTTTTGAAGGGTATATTGGTCATTTTCTTATATGTTTTCTCATTCTCCTTCATTTATAGATTCCATTGGGTTTGAAGCTACAAGAGAGACCTGATAAAGGTCAAGGAGGAATTGGAGCAGTACCCACGAGAGGCAGTTGGACTGGTGCTGCCTTTGACTAAATATGGTTAAAATAATTTTGTACCCAACATATCTGTTTTAAAAAGAGAATATATCTCAATTTGCTTCTACTTTACTTCATTTTTTAAGCATCATACTTTCATAGTCAACCAATTATAGCATCCTACTTCCATGACAAACGACTGATAAACGATGACACCATCTTTAACGTAATGTTTTCTTTGACATTAGTGTCGAATCCAACCCCCGCGAAGCGGGGCTTCTTATCTAGTTATGATTGAAATTATCAATAGTATTTTTCTTTTTCAATCGTGGTTTCCACAGGTATTAATCTAATCTAGTAAGTTAATAAAATACATCTTTTCCTTCATAAAATATTCATCCTAAACAGTAAATAGTTATAGCATCTAACAAAATTAAATTCAGAAGTATTCTAAGATGATAGGTGATCGATAATTGCCTCCTCCGACATGAACTGACTACATGTTTAAATTTGATAAGCATAAAGTTATGATTCCTCTCATCTTAAGATAAATATGATATGTGATTTGACATGCAACATAAAGAATATATTTCAAACAACTAAAGACTAAAATATTACTGACCTTTGGGTTAAAGTTGCAAAAATATTTTAAGTTTAATAACATGAGTTTTTTCACATTTTGGTTTTTTCAATCAGGCTACAGACTTTAAATAATAAACAACTTTTTACTTGACTGCAAACATTTAGCCTGCATCTTTTTCTTAAGATATGGTTCGCAGACTTACCTTATAAAAACATACAACGCCTAAATAATTAGAGAAATCTCTTAATCATCGTCTTATTGCAAGAAGCAAGTGGGAAGCTTGTAGATATCGAAAAAATTCTAAGACCACACAATACAATACCTTATATAATCACTAGCTAAATAAAAGGTTTTATATATTATCATCTATTTTTGACAGGAACTAAAACATGAAAAGCTAAAGCTTCAAACTTAGTGAAGGGAAAGGGAAAAAGAAAAGGACAAGCAACAACATACAAGTAAGTCTCTATATAATATTTGGTGGTACAAGTAGAGAAGATTTACATGTTTGTGTAGAGCAGAGTGAAGAAAAGTTCAACTTGGGGAATGTTTTGAATGATATGAGTAAACTTATTTCGGCTGGGTTCCTCCAGCAGCAGCGGACTAATCTGTGCAACGCGTGGAATAAGTTTGGCAAGTGGTACACCCAAACTCCCATCACCACCAACACCAACACCAAACTGTAACGTCATGTCCTCCATCAATCCCTCCACCACTTTTTTCAGCGACATCTCTAGAATATTTCCAAATTCAGAACTACAAAACAAAAAAAACCAAATTACACTTAGTAAACTACTGTAAGTTGTAACTGTACTAGAAAGAAGTACCTTGATAAAACTGCTCGTGTCTCCCCCATGAGTTGATCTAGTTTAGTGACGCGACTGCCTGCCTCGGGCATCAAATAATCCACCCAGTGATGATGTCTCTCATTGCTCATGAACGTGTTCAATATATGCATAATTGTTTCATCAAGTACACTAGAATTGAAGATATCCCTCAACTGCTTTCTGCAAATAACAATCAATAGAATATATACAACATTAGTTTCAATGATGTTGTATTTTTGCACTTTAAGATCATCATGCATTCGAGTTGATGATCTTGTATCAGCCACTTAATTCTATTTATTATAACCAAACCAGCAGCACTGACTGGAGAGTGTTACCTACAAAACTACCCTTTTAACCAACCATAGCAACAAACTCTAACTAAAACTGTTGTCTACAATAATACCCAATCAAAATCAAACCTCGTTTTGAAATCAATTATCAACAACTTTGCAGATAATCAAAATCAAATTTGATCAACAGACAAAACATTATTTTTCT